ACAGACAGTTTTTCAGGAAAGGGAAAAGTTCAGGGTCTTGTATGTCTGTGCAACATCTCTTCCACAAGGAGGAAATTCAACAGAGCAAGACTGGAGTCAAACTTGGGAAAGACGAAGACACTTCCAGAAAAGATTCAGGCCCGGGAGCATGTAACCACCAAGGACTGTGATGAGGCTGTGAGTGAATAGCTAGGACCGGGAGTTAGAAAATAAAAGATTTAGACCCACGAGTCACGTGCATGGGAATAATGTCCACAATTAAAGATATCAATGAGAACTCCCAGAGAAAGAGGCCCGGTCTCAATGGAGAAGAAAAGAGACTGTCCCAGGAGATGTCTCTTGGGACTGCATCAGACAGAAACATGGAAAATTAAAACTGGGGCACTTAAAAGAATCCAAATCGGGCTCTTTTTTGTTGTTGTTGTTGTTAACTGAAGCGATTAAGCATTTTGCTTTACTAATATCCTCTATCAGGTTGATGAGGTAAACTGGCTCTTTAGAATGATTTGGGAACCGATTAATCCTTGCCTGTGGCTATCAGTTAGCAACACACACAACGTTATTGGCTAACACGCATTTTTCTGCTGCCTTACAGAGATCAACAAACTATTTCGAACAGGAAAGTTGCACGAAGAAAAAATTCTGCCTTGCATCTAAAAGAAAATTTGCTCAGAAACAGTCACAAATTGCACTTGTAATGACAGTCCCGCGCTAATTTAAGGCTCACAAAATTGAGCGCAATAACTTGTCATTTAGCGCTCTAAGAAAAGGTAAACAAAACCCACTTTTCAGATGCAAATGTCACGCTCAGAGTCAGCAGCGGTGCTGAGAAAACCGCGTTTGCAGGGCGGGCGGCTTTTAATGATGCCTCCGCCGCAGCCAGCAGCTCCTTTCTCAGCCAGGACAGTGACCTCCGGGCTCGTCACCCAGCTGAGCCTGCGGCTGATAACCACCGCTTCACCGAAGGAATCCCTGGGTCCATTTGCATTGCAAATGCTCCCCGCTGCAGACCAGAAAACGAGATATTGTTTCCCCTGCCGCGAACAGCCCTCTCCCCCGCGGTCTCCATCGCGGCACGGCCGCCGGCGGGGAAGGCGCCGCTGGGCGGGCAGGGCTGGC